TTTGTTAGGTTGAGTTATCATTTCTAATATTAAGGTTTTAAAATAAGTAAATTTGTTATTGGTGAAAATAAGTCAATTATCTTCATAAATTAACACAACTTGTCTCTAACTACGATTTTTGACGATTTTTCTCCAAATTTCTTCGTTAACATGGAGTAAAAGACTTGTTCATCACTGTCTTTTTAAATAAGCAAAACAAGAAAGAAAGTAGAATTACAACTAAATATTTCTCTCATTTTAAAAGTACGTTAATAGTATTTTTACAAGAAAATCGTGATTACGAACAATATTTGTTAGTTAACGAAAGGATAAAATTAAGAATGTCATGAAAAAAATGAAGGATGTAAAAAGGACAACGATAAAAGTTAAAGATCTTTAATGTAATTAATATCAGGGGCATGCATCAGGTGATCCAGTCCGAATTTCTTGAGGGCGTTGGTTCCATGGGCAAAAAGGGGACTGAACCGGATGAAATCGAGGGTTTTGGTTCTTGCCCATTCTTGTTCCTTCAAATTGAAGACGTATTAGTAGGTAAATGTAGCAATATCTAATTGTAAATGTAGAAGTATTAATATTTAAAACGTAAAATTTAAAATTTGAATTGCAAGTATGATTTTTAGACTGTCAAAAAAATATTTATATATGGGTAATGCTACATGTACACACACACTTTTACACAATCTTTTACACCTCTCCTACATGGAGGGGGGTCCACGATTATTTTATTATGTGTGGGCCCCCCTCCATGTGAGAGAGGTGTAAATGATTGTATACACTTAGCATTATTCTTTATATATAGGTTTGAAATTAGGTCTTTAACCGAGAGAAGAATGACGAAGAGAAGTTGTGCCATTGACGAATGCGAATATCGTTATTAAGACTTAAGAGTATAGTTTAAGGTTTCACTATTGTGTGACGCACCACCTTGAGAGAAAAAAATATTAACGCAGGTAGAGAGTAAAAATATTTTTTGGTTCTCCATTGAGCTTTGAGAATCTAACTAGAATTGGTGGGTTCAAGATGCAAATTACCGAAGTCTATTAATTTTTTCAAGGAATCGTTATCAATCGAATTGAACCAAACTGTCCGATTCTAGTTTGGTCTTTTTGGTACAATGAATTTTGCCCGCCTCAAATTACTATGTGGTGCAAAATGATTTGAATCCCCCCCCCCCCCTCCCCTCCCTCCTTCTCTTTTGTGTCAAAAATGCATTTTAGAATAATATTTTAATGAAGAATGCATGGTTAAAAAATAAGGAATGAAACCAATGAAAATATAATGTAGGCAAAGTTGTCAAGGAAGAAAGAGTGGATAAATGGACTAGAAGCTCTATCAATTGTCTTACGTGACAAGAATGTGTAGATGTTCTCATTAAAGCGAGAGAGAAGAGAGTCTAAATGTATTAGAAATTATCGTCAATTTAGGATTTGTTTGAGCTCTATTTTTTGTAATATATTTTGTTATAGTGATTTTTTGAAGATTTTTTTGTTAAAAAGTACGAAAAGTTTTTTATGTAAATGTAAAATTATTTTATCGACAGAATGTTCGATTAAAAATGAGTTCGAAAAAAAAAAGTTTTTAAAAGAACTTTGCTCGAGCTTAGTTTGACAAAGCTGTTTAAATAATTAGCAATTTGAACACAAAAGAAGGTGGAGAATTCGAAAGCGAGAAGGGTAGTTTTGTCCTAAAAAGTATATGAAACCTAAATTAGCAGACATGATTCATTTCTCACTTTTGAAAGTATCCTGCAAATGGATATTTCGTCTTAATTTTCAACTAATCTGTTTAACCCCTATTTGAGTCCTTTTTTTAGAATATATTTTATTAAAAAATATTTTTTAAAAAAATATGTGATTAGAAAATAGAAAAAAATTAAATTTATATATAATATTATTTTATTGTAAAATCATATGATTATAAGTAAATTAAAAAAATAAAATAAGTGTTAAAGGATGTCTGCTCAAAAATGCTGCTTTTTTTTTAATCGTTCAGTCTATTATTACTTAATTTTCGCAATTAGTCTAATCAAGATGACTTATCTTAATCTCCACGTTGTACTTTAATTGGAAAATTAGTCCCAAGATCTCCACTCCCATCTTTCACAGGGGTTAATCAAAGTTTAAAGACAAAATTTGATTGGACATCGAATGATTTGACAGATTTTCAATATTGTTACAGTCACAAGATAGTTACATCTATGGCCTAGGGGTCGTTAGTTTCTTACCGTCCATTTGAATACAATCCGTAAATTAATATATAAATTCAGTCAAAATCAAATATTAATTTTAATCGATAATTAGTAGAGTGGACAATCCATTGATTCTCCCATCCTTATGAGCACTTCTCTCCCTCTCCCTCCCTCTCTCTCTATCTGTGTCAAAAGTCAGATATAATGTCATGTGACATTATGTCAATATTTCTGCTAATCTATCTAGCACTGTAGCATGATTGATGTATATATGCATCAATCCATTTTATATATCTATCTTCCCTTCCTTTCTTGCTTCTTTCATTAGTTTTTATCCTCCAATCATCTCTCTCTTTCTCTCCAATCGGGTTTTTAATAAATTTTGATAAAAAATAATAAAATGTGTTGTTAAAAGTTAATAAAAATGGTGGATGACATGAAATTTATTGATCAAATCAATTATTAACTTTGATTTAAGATTTTAAGTTACATCAAATATGAGCTATAAATAATTATATATACACAAATATGTGGGTGTGTTTCTATATATATAACCTAGTATCCAAGACCTAAAGCCCACTTCAGTTACACAAACCAACTTCTATAGTATTAGTATCTGCTTATTTTCGCTTATACTCATTAGCCATGAATTATGAAGCAAATACTTCTCTTACTTTGAGTTCATCAAGAAATAATCTAAACCTAAACCTAGTACTAAACCCTTTGTCGTCGTCATCGTCGTCGTCATCATCAACTTTGGAACCAGTACGAGTTTTTTCTTGCAACTTTTGCAAGAGGAACTTCTACAGTTCACAGGCTCTTGGAGGGCACCAAAATGCTCACAAACTGGAGAGAACCTTAGCGAAGAGAAGCAGAGAATTATGCACGGCAGTTAAGCCACACGCCGGAATAGACCAGCGGCAGCCTCCAACCGACGCTTCTGGTGGCGACCGGAGCCACTTGCCGGGACTGTTCATCGGGATTGATCAGCAATCACATGCTGGTAGGTTTAACAGTGATATGAATTATGGAATAAGCAATTATTGGAATGATGAATGCAATAAGGGAGAGAGTGTTGAAGAAGAGCTCGGTCAACTCGACTTGTCTCTAAGGCTTTGACCTTCGTCGACTACGAAAAATTCATCTGTAGGAATTTCACCGACGAAATATTTCACAGATGAAATCTTGGCACGTCGTTTTTTTTTTTAGAATAAATTTTCTAGATGAGTACGAAGAGAATCTTGTATGCTAATTAGAAACTAGAATTGGAAAAGGGAAAATGTTATTGGGGATGTATTTTGGATATATTGTACGATGTTTTTCGAATAATTAAGTTTGTTTGGCACGTCAAATCTAATGAGACTGAATAAAATTAATGATGGAGCATGTACCAATAGTTTGTTCAATCGAATTTGTCTAGTGCGCTGAATTTGCCCGACTTCTTTAATTTTATTTCAAGACAAAAATAGAAAGTTCGGATAATCATGGATGAGTGCATTCTCTACATTTTTCTTAATACAAACCAAGCGATGTTTTCATCACAAGTAAATAGAGTACAATTTAGAGGAGTTATTGACTCAACGTCAATAGCAATAACCTTACAAAGAATGATAAAACCAATGATGGAAAATGAATTTCGTGTGCTCGAATTATACTTCATTTAGATTTGGCGAGCTCGTTATCAATGTTTGAACTAGCCTTTCATGATCCAAACGTCTAACTATACTTTAGTAACAAATAGTCCATTTGATAGTGCATTCTCTACATACATTAACATTTATTTATAAATATTTACTAAGTTACGTTCATTTATTTTCTAAGAAAAATTGGCATTTGTTTGGTGAAAAAAAATAAAAAAGTTTCAACAATCAGAAAGTGTTTATTTGCATATTTACTTTTGAATGAGTCATTGGAATAATATAAAAGCACTCACTATGGCCTTTATTACATAACTTGACAAGCTAGACTGAGAACCCATTTTTGTTTTTATTTCTTATAGAAGAGTTTTCGAAAAAAAAAAAATTACTTTAATTTTTGNTAGAAGAGTTTTCGAAAAAAAAAAATTACTTTAATTTTTGTTTGAAATCTAACTTTCAAAACTACTTGTTATTTCAGAAGTGTTTTTAGAGGGAATAATTCCATTTCACTCGAAAAATTTCACCAGAATTTCACCAGAAATTTTACATGGGGGTAGGTCCCACTGTGAATAAAATATTGCAAAAAATGTGGGCCCACCAGTGTTGTTTCTTATCTGTTGGTTTTATGTGTGTACAGTATCCTGTACACACAGCAAAACTGTTTTGAAGGAAGCCACATTAGACCAATTTTTTAAAAAACTCTTCTAACTAGAAGAAACACTATTATAAAATTAGTCGAATAGATTCAAAAGCTGCTTTTGAACCTCAAAAACTCCTTTTAATTTTTTAAAAGTCATGCCAAACAGATCCTTACTTAATACCTTTTGTTGTGCCTCCTGTTGTTGTTTTCTATTTATATTATGCACAAAAAATAAAAACTCGTTATACTGTCATTAATTTTTCAATTTATATTTATATTGTTTCGATTATTGGCGTTTCATTTTGTAACAAGTTCACTCACGTGTCCACATTAAAAGCATTTTTGGCAAATGCCAACTGTGTTGTCGCCTTAGTTCATCAGTTAATCAAACTAATAGACATAATTGAGCGACCTAATTGGAACAAATGTTTGAGTTTAATGACTCATTTGTAATTAATATTAAAGCTTAGTGACTCAGTTGAAACTAGATTTTATTTTTCAACTCGAGTTAATATTTAAAAATTTGAAGTGGACATGTGTTGATTTAATGAAGATTTAATCGATTTCAATCTTTCATACTAATTGTGCAACTATAATCTGTTGGGAAATATGTAAGAAAATCTGAAAAAATTAATGAACTTCAAGGCACGAAAATCGTTATTTTTTAAGAAATGTTTCTTCTCTATCCAACAAAGTCACAACTAAGATATGATAAAAAATCTCTCTCAAAATAAAATGAAGGCGTTTGATTCAAACTGTAACTATTTGATCAATCAAAGAAAACACTGTATAAAGAAATTGATGATGCAAAGAGAGAAGAATAGAAAATAACGAATTTTTTAATGTGTTTTGAAAATGAGAATTCGTACAAAATATATAGAAATGGAGGCAACCAATTGAATATGTGTGTCACTTGAAATGAATGAACGCATATGTTAGAAGAAACATACATATTCAAAAACTTCTGAAAATAAAATTATCTTTCGGGGGCGTTGCCCCCAAGCCCCCACGGGGGGCACTGTCCTCTCGACCCTCGCGACCTGACCGGGCAAGTCGATCCCTGTTGCGTAGCGGCAAACACTAGTCGTGGTGGCAAANTTAGTCTAGTACACTTCAATTCCGCAATTTGACACGTAACGTACATCGTGGGACCCGACATGAACCAATAATCGTCAAGTTCAAAAAATTATTGAAGTCGTTGACATCGTCTTGATTTAGTTTACATGACACTAGATGCAGTGTAATTATCGTAATTTGTAGTCCTTTTCTCTCGAGTTCACGTGAATGATTAATACTTGTGTCAAACAAGACCAAACAATGTAATTTTTGATTAATTACAGTCTACAATCTTTTTGGAAAATTACAATTACAATATTTATATATTGCAATTGTAACCTATAATCCCAACATCTAACTTTAATGAATGAAGATTTAGCCCCTGTTTGTCTACCATTTTTCAAAAAATTGTTTTCTACAATAATCAATATCTACCACACATTCAAATAATAAAATATTCTACACATAAACCGATAAAGTTTCTTTCAATTTCAACCACACATTTTCCAAAAAATACTATTCATTACACCATTTTCTTCTCAATAATGGTTGACAAACAGACACTTAATTCATTTCAAAATTTCGTAATGTTTGTACAACTGTAATAAAATATTGAAAACCATCTTAATAGTGGAGGGATGTGTTAAAAATCATTGTTGCAATTTTCTCTAATTGTAAGAACGTGAAGTCATTTCATTTTGTGATTATGCTTTACCAGCACCCACTTTAGGCAAGTCATGCCCATAAGTCTTTGAAGATAATGTATCACTTTTGCATTCCATCACATTTTTGCCTGATTAGATGCTTCAAACAAAGGATAATTTAACTTAGTTTAGTACACTTCAATTCCACAATTCGATACGTAACGTACATCGTGGGACCTATCACGAACAATAATCATTAAATTCAAAAAATTATTGAAGTCATTACCATCGGACACTTATAGCAGTTTGGTAGTCGTATCTGTTATTCCTTTTTTTTTTCCTCAAGTTCACATGAATGATTAGTACTTATGTCGAAAAGAATCAATAATCATTTAAATCAAAAAAAATTATGGAGTCATTAGCATCGTCTCAATTCAATTTACATTAAACTTATAATTGTTTAATTGTCGTTATTTGTTATCCATTTTTTCTTGAGTTCACGTGAATAATTAATACTTATGTTTAAAAGGATATAATAAATAATTTTGATATTTTTCTTCTTTAATACTTTTAACTTAATAGATAATAAATCATCGTACACACCATGAAATCGCTTTGGCCTTCGAGGGTGTAAAAAAGTGTGATACATCACCAATGGGCTTGGTTGGGAGTAGCTAGCTCAATAGCAATATGTTTATATTTATTGTTGTATTCATACGCATGAATGTACCAATTTGTTGAAATTATGCATCCACAAATTCTTCAAACCCAGTAGAAGGGAGAATGAAATCCAAGTTGCTTGCCTTTCGACTCAGTTCAAGATTCAAAGAATTCTTGAACAATGAACAACCATTTCAAATCTTTACGATCAAAAAGTACTAAATTTTCTTTTAAATAGGCTCTGAAAAGAGAAGAGAGACTGAAATGCAAATAGGTATCTATTATTGAACTCGCTCGACCCGATAGTACTCAATATGCATTTGGCTGCCCCAATGCCCTCAAGTAAATATAATACTATATCATAAACAAAAATAAAAATGTTTGTAATCTTCTCAAAGTCACGAACTCTAAGTTCAAGTAAGGGCAAATATAAATAAAACCGTACTCAAGATTAGGGACGAATTTGGCGGGGGGTTGGATCGGGGTGTAGCCCGATCTAGCCCCCAGCCCATTCAATTTTTTTTATGTAAAAAAAAATTATTTGTGTAATTTTTTTTTTTTTACGTATTAGCCCAAATTGTAATCTGGTCATGAATCCATCCCTACTCAAGATATATTGTCAAGAAAACTGTTGTTGCATTGGGAAGACTATCATCAAGAAACAACAATTTTGGGAAAAAATAAATCATAAAGATCTACAAGAAGAGAACGAGAACAAGGTCGGAGAAATCTTAGAAGTGAATGAAATCATATATTGAGGTTATGTTTAGGGGTGGCAACCGAGCCGAATGGCTCGTCATAAACGAGCCACGAGCCTCTTGGGTTCATAACAAAGACGAGCCCGAGCACAAGACAAGTCGAGCCGAGCAGCTCGTGGGCTCGTCCAAAATCGCTTTTTTTTTTTAAAAAAAAAAGGTTCATCTAATATATATATGGCCGAGCTCGTATGTGTATGGGCCGAGTCGGCTCGACTCGACCCATTGCCACCTCTAATTGTGTTGAAAGTAAATCATTCACAACAATCAAAACATATATGAAAATGAAATCAACATATAGCCCAATAGATTTAAAGCATGTTTTTACGCAAACAAATCCAATATTATCTTCCTAGTCCTTCATGCTACGGTGCTGTGCCTAATTTATCCTTATCTTTTAGTAGAAGTGGCTGATCAACATTAAAACTAGGTAGTTAACAGATGGTAACAATCTATTGTAATTTTTTGTCATTATTATTATTATTATTATTATTATTATTATTATTATTATTATTATTTTATTTATTATTATTATTATTTTTTGTTCTAACATGACTAACTTCTACCTATTCCCCATTCAGGGATGGCAAGAACCTTCTATAAATTTTCAATTGTAACACTATTATATTTGTTCTACCAATTTAAAAGGTAAATGCAACCCCTCATTTTTGTAAAAGATAAGTATAACTTAACATCTTCCCATATTTTATTAATATTTTCACTCCCAAAATGCTTATGAGGCATAATCGTGTATCTTCTACCCGATGGCGTATTCTACGAATCAAGTTATATTTGGTTGACTAATTATATCTATTTTATGTAATTTAGTTATGTCCATTCTCGTTGACCATAGGTTGGTTGAACCATATCGAGTCTAAGCTAAGTTCTGAATGGTCATCTTTATAACTTTGATTGCAACCGTGACCCCGATTAATGAAAAAACAAGGGCATAAAATAGATGGGGAGAAAGAGCAAGTTGTCCTTAAACAACCACATTGTACTTTCCCGAAAACCAATTGACTATCAAGAAATGTGAAAACTTTACACATAAAAATAATGCTTTTTTTGTTTTTGAATTTGACAAGTGGTTCAAAATTTGGTGATCTAACAGAATGGATTGAGCGTGTGACTTCAATTATTTAATTTAAACTTACGAATAATGCTATTTAAAAGAAACACAAGAACCCAACTCACGGTATTAACGAACCTGTTTCGCTAAGTTTTTAAACAATATTAATAATTCTTTAAATAATAACTATCTTGTCATTCAAATTTAAAAATAAATTACTTATTTCGACATTAATATAAGAGCAACTTTCAAAAATGTAAATTTGGACACCTCAAAATCAAGTCTTGCGATTCCAAATTGAAAAGTTTAAAAGATCAATCTTGTCAAGAGACTAAGAGCCCATTTGATAGGATATCTATTTTGCTTATACTTCTTGTAGAATAATTTTACGATAATGTTACATTAGGTTCCTGTTTCGTAAAGATTTAAATTCGGATTTTAATTTAAACCAAAGTCAACAATGAATTTTAACTAATATTTCATGGTCCTAAAACTTTTCAACTATACATTTCATCAGTTTTTATTAAAATCTACTAAAAATCTGATTTTAATCTCTACCAAACAAGAGCTAGATCAGCCTTCTCTAAAATATCTTTTAAAAAGACAAAGGCATTTTCACAAAATTATTTAAATATGTTCAAAACAACAGCTTCTTAATTTGAAAAACATCTTTTGACATTTCAAAAATCTTGCCAAACGGACCCTAATTTGAACCATTAATACGTTGCTAATTTACGTACTTAAATAATGTGAAATTTTATCTTTATGAATGCCCTTGGCTTATTTGAAAACTCCAAATTTAGAATCTAACTACTCGTTTAAACTTGTACAAAATGAATTATTCGTTTAAGATTTTCGTTTGAGAAATGCTATTCATCCCCACTGGGGATGAATAGCATTTTTCTTTTCGTTTTGGTTGGTGGGATCTAAATTAAGTGCTAAAATTTAATTTTAAAATATCAATCTAATATGTGGAATCTCATTTTCATATTTAGTGTGTGTTTGATAGAGATTTTTTGGGGGAAGAATTGATTTTGAATAGTGATATGATGGGAAATGTGTGGTTGAAAAAGAAGATAAAATTATTGATGTGATAGAAAATATTATTTTATTGAAGAATGTGTGGTTGAAAATGAGAATTGATTTACTGTAAAATTTTGAGAATCCCTCCCAAACAGGCCTTTAATTAATGTGAATCTTATTTTATTTTTTATGAGCAGTGAGAAAACCGCGTGCAAGTCAGCAAGTGTAATAAAACGAGATATGGGCTGTCACTAGCTAGAATCGCACTATTCTCAACTCAACCACTCTTATTGGCCACCTGTCTCCAGCTCTTACACTTTCTCACCGCCACAACATGATTTTTTTGGAACCGTCCCTGCACTTTCTCCAGTCCCCACGAACTACCTATAAAATACCCATGAATGTAACCTATTCCAACATCAAACACCAATCTTAAACACCAAATCTTCATAGATTTATTCATTGTACTTTGCCAACACAATTCAACACCTCAGTAATGGCTTCTCTGAATTCGGTTTCTCTAGTTTTAGTTGTAAGTAGCTGTTTTGTAATAGCACTTGGAGGTAATTTCTATCAAGATTTTGATGTCACATGGGGGGATGGAAGAGCTAAGATACTCAACAATGGAGAACTTCTTACTCTCTCACTTGACAAAACTTCTGGCTCTGGATTTCAATCCAAGAATGAGTATCTATTTGGCAAGATTGATATCCAACTCAAACTCGTACCTGGAAATTCTGCTGGCACCGTCACTGCCTATTATGTAAGCACAGTAGACTGGACGAGTTTTAACTTCTTTTCTTCCTTGATACGATAGATGGTAAGTTATAACTAATATTGTGCTATGTATTGTGCAGTTGTCATCGCAAGGACCAACCCATGACGAGATAGACTTTGAGTTCTTGGGAAACCTCAGTGGCGATCCTTATATTCTTCACACCAATGTGTTCGGCCAAGGAAAGGGCAATAGGGAGCAGCAATTCTATCTCTGGTTCGACCCGACTGCAGATTTTCACACCTATTCCATCCTTTGGAATCCCCAACGTATCATGTAAGTAGTTTCACATTATGGTCACCTAATCTCCAATATGCTTGAACTTTTTTCTGACTTATTTTGTGCTCCCATTTCAGCTTTTCTGTGGATGGCACACCAATCAGAGAATTCAAGAATGCAGAGTCCGTCGGTGTTGCTTACCCAAAGAACCAACCCATGAGAATTTACTCTAGCTTGTGGAACGCTGACGACTGGGCAACAAGAGGCGGGCTTGTGAAAACTGACTGGAATCAGGCTCCCTTTACTGCATCCTACAGAAATTTCAATGCAAATGCCTGTGTTTCGTCCTCATCGGGTTCATCTTGCACTCCATCTTCAACTTCAAGCAGCAGCAATTCATGGCTAAATGAAGAATTGGATTCCACAAGCCAAGAAAGGCTAAAATGGGTGCAGAAAAATTACATGATATATAATTATTGCTCTGATTCAAAGCGATTCGCACAAGGATTCCCTCCAGAGTGTAGCATTAACACAACAGCATAAAAAAGAATTAGTTTCTGAAGTTTGATTAATTTAGGCACGGGAATATTACATTTATTGATTTCTTTTGGAGTCTGCATAATAGTATTCTTTTGTTCTTTTACTTGTCATCATTTTGTACTAAAAAATCCATAAGAAATAAAAGTTATTATAGATTTGAATATATTATTTCATGTTCCTTTGCTTTCTTTAGGACATATAACTATGTTAAAATCCGATTACATTTGTACAAGAATCTTTGGGGGGAAATATGAATAGTACATCGTCCATGTGGAGTGTGATTCGACCCGCAAAACATCAAAATAGTTGGAGAAGTGGTTTGAATTTAGAATTCAAACCTACAACTCGTTACAACTTCCCTTAACTTTAATACAATCTCCGGGTCTTACCTTGGACGAGAGAAAAATATAACAAGAAAAAAGGTGGAAATTCGTGCAAGGAGAAATGCGCCTAGAATCACAAATTTGGTATGAAAACTCACAAGATTTGAAACTTTGATAATAATCTCCTTCTATTGTGATTGATATTGGAACCACAAGAGTGCTGAAAAATACAGATTTCGGAGTTTGAGAAAGCAAAGATGATTCAATCACAAAAAAAACAAATGTTGCAATTCTCCTTTTTTTTTTCTAGTAAGAACCTTGAACCGAATTTACGTTAAAGAATGCTATAAATTCTTTCAATGATATCAGAGTTTCAAGGTTGAACAACGTTTCATGTTACACCACTGCATGAATTAAATTTTGAAACATTAAATATTTAAAATTAATGTACAAACTAATCGGTGCTTAAGGTAAAATGAGCACCGGTGCTCATTAGATCCCCTCTCTCTCTCTCTCTCTCTCTCTCTATATATATATATACACACACACACACACAACAATATGGATCATCTTTTTTCTGAGTCCAATAATGGTTTCTAGAGGAAATCTCGATCACGGTTACTTATTATATGTATTATTTAAAAATTTTAAAAATAAAAGCGTTTTAGCACTAACAAATAATCAATTATAAGTGATCATTATTATCCATTAAAGTCTCGACTTTTTTAATCATATTCTTATTTTCAAATTTTGTCCAAAAATTTCGTTTAAGATATAGAGTAAACACTTATTTGTCATTATACTTTTAAATAAGCCAAAACAATATAATTACAAATATTTATCTCTCATTTTAAAGTACGTTAATAGTATTTTTGCAGGAAAACTATGATTACAAATAATATTTACTAGTTAAGGAAATGTTAGAAATAAGGTTGTGATGGAAAGTTAAGAATGTAAATATGACAACAATAAAGGTTAGGGCCTTTAATGTAATTAATATTAGGAGTGTATACCAAGTCGTTCAACCCGAGTTTCTTGAGAACCTGAACAGAACCAAATCCCATTGGGAATTTCAAAATGAACCATCGGTTCTGTAGGCAAAATGTGAATTTAATCAAACTCATATTTGGTTCTTGTCCAGTTCGATTTCTTTAAGTTATAGACATATCGTTATGTGTTATAAATATTTAAAAGGTCAATCAATGAATACTCTTTGGTCAAAAAGCTCACACTTTGGACAATATTATCAGAACCGTGTGGTATTGTTAAAATATTAAAGGCGATATTGGTTGTCACTGTTCACAACAACTCGTTTTGGCCAGTATCTGTATCCAGCTCAAACACTTTTCACCCCCCAACTTGAATTTATGGAACCATCTCTGCACTTTCCTCAACCCGCAAACTTCATATAAATACCCAAGAAATTATCAAATTCCAATATCAACTACAATCTTAAACACCAAATCTTCTTAGATTTATTCATTATATATACTTTGCCAACACAATTCAACACCTCAGTAATGGCTTCTTTGAATTCAGTTTCTTTAGTTTTAGTTATAAGTAGCTGTTTTGTAATGGCACTTGGAGGTAATTTCCATCAAGATTTTGATATCACATGGGGAGATGGAAGAACTAAGATACTCGACAATGGAGAACAACTTACTCCCTCACTCGATAAAACTTCTGGCTCTGGATTTCAATCCAAGAATGACTATCTATTTGGCAAGATTGATATGCAACTCAAACTCGTCCCTGGAAATTCTGCTGGCATTGTCGCTGCCTATTATGTAAGCGCATTAGACTTTCAACTTCTTTTTCTTTCTCGATACTATACATTGTATGTTTTTAACTAATATTGTGTTATGTATTGTGCAGTTGTCATCTCAAGGATCAACCCATGACGAGATAGACTGAGAAACCTTATATTCTTCACACCAATGTGTTCAGCCAAAGGAAAGGGCAATAGGGAGCAGCAATTCTATCTATGGTTCGACCCAACTGCAGATTTTCACACCTATTCAATCCTTTGGAATCTCCAACGCATCACGTAAGCAGTTTCACAGTTACTACTCACATCCTTACGTACAGATTGAATTCATTTAGACCCGTTAGATATTTGCCTCATTTAGTCAATGTTGGTGGCTTAAAGGATAATTGGCATGCTTTCTTCTTGGTTAAGATTTGAGAAGTCAAGGAAGGAAGAGAATTTGGAATTGAAGTCTCTACTTTCACCTCCTTTGGCCTCTATAAATAGATGTCTCCTCTCCTCTTTTAGTTATCCCATCCTTGAGAGAAAAATATTATAGCTTGGAGAGAAGAAAAATGTTCAAGGCTATTGAAGTATTTTTTTTCTTTGTAATACTTTGGGATTGGGTTGGTGAGTGAATTCTATATGATTGTAACAATTTTTCATATAGTGAAAAACCTTTGACGGTCCAATTGTGCATTATATTATTTATTTTTCTTTATTTACTAATATTTTTCTGAACAACAAAAGATCCTGCGGGTAATAGGAAGAAAGGAAATTAGCGTAAATTTCCCAACAAGTGGTATCTGAGCGTTAGGTGGTTCAGAGTATTTGAGCAACAGAAACATATGTCGTTGACATATGACGTGGAGAAATATGACGGGAGAATCAATTTTGGCTTGTGGCAAGTACAAGTCAGAGATTTATTGATTCAAGCTGGACTGCACAAGGCTTTGAAAGGAAAACCAACCCAGAGTTCTGACAAGGAAACTGGATCCAGTATGAGCGATGATGATTGGGAGGAATTAGATTTGAAGGTTGCAAGCACGATACGTCTCTGTCTGGCTAAAAATGTTCTTGCAAATATTCATGGAATATCTGCTGCAAAGGAATTGTGGGAAAAGCTAGAAGAACTATATCAAACGAAGAGCCTCTCAAATCGGTTGTACCTGAAGGAGCAATTTCATTTATTGCGCATGGAAACAGGTACGAAAATCTCAGATCATCTGAGTGCTCTCAACGGGATTGTTTCAGAACTGGAGTCTATTGGAGTGAAGATAGATGATGAGGATAAAGCATTACGTCTCATCTGGTCTCTACCGTCTACCTATGAGCACATCAAGCCAATCTTGATGTATGAGAAGGAAACTATGAGTTTCGCAGAAGTGACAAGCAAATTGATCTCAGAAGAAAGGAGATTAGGCGGTCAGAATATTCATTCTGACAATATGGCGCTTGTGACTGAAAAGTGGAAGACGGGCAACTCCATGAAGAAGAAAGTAACTTGCTGGAACTGCGGTCAGGCTGGTCACGTGAAGAGAAATTGTCAGTAGAGCAGGGTCAGCTAACTGCTTGGGGTCGGACAATGCATCTCTCATAGCGGAGGAGGACGTGATGTAAAGTAATATGAGAACATCCTTATGGCATGTCGCCAGTTGCCATGATAGATGATGTGTTATTACTGGCGCGGATCAACATATCTGCACATAGCATTGACTGACATTCGATGCAAGGTGTGTAGGTATGTGGTGGTATTGTAAATGTCGATGGCTGATGAGCTCTCTGGGAAAAGTCAGTGGGAGAGTTGCACCATAATTATCAGCAGGGTTGTTTCGACATGTAGCTGATGAAATGCTCGGAGTTTGCGAATAATTCTGAGTGGTTATACTCATATGGTGGAGTATGGGACCGTTAAAGTGTGTCAAAGGCTTACCAGGTTTTCCAAAGTATTGTGATTAAAAGTTGTAGAAGAGATGACAAGATTTTGACAAGTTTTCGGCAAGGTGGAGATTGTTATATATTTGCCTCATTTAGTCAATGTTGGTGGCTTAAAGGATAATTGGCATGCTTTCTTCTTGGTTAAGATTTGAGAAGTCAAGGAAGGAAGAGAATTTGGAATTGAAGTCTCTACTTCCACCTGCTTTCTTCCACCTCCTTTGGCCTCTATAAATAGATGTCTCCTCTCCTCTTTTAGTTATCCCATCCTTGAGAGAAAAATATTATAGCTTGGAGAGAAGAAAAAGGTTCAAGGCTATTGAAGTATTTTTTTTCTTTGTAATACTTTGAGATTGGGTTGGTGAGTGAATTCTATATGATTGTAACAATTTTTCATATAGTGAAAAACCTTTGACGGTCCAATTGTGCATTATATTATTTATTTTTCTTTATTTACTAATATTTTTCTGAACAACAAAAGATCCTGCGGGTAATAGGAAGAAAGGAAATTAGCGTAAATTTCCCAATTTCCCAACAAGACCATACGGTCTCGTAATCACCAATATGCATATGTTGAACTTTTTTCTTGACTTAGCTTTTCTGTGGATGGTACACCGATCAGAGAATTCAAGAATGCTGAATCTCTAGGTTTTGCGTACCCAAAGAACCAACCCACGGAGAATTTACTAAAGCCTGTGGAATGCTGACGATTGGGCAACAAGAGGCGGGCTTGTGAAAACCGACTGGAATCAGGCTCCCTTTACTGCATCCTACAGAAATTTCAACGCAATGTGTTTCGCCTCATCGGCTTCATCTTCTTGTACTCCATCTTCAACTTCAAGCAGCAGCAATTCATGGCTAAATGAAGAATTGGATTCCACAAGCCAAGAGAGGCTCAAATGGGTGCAGAAAAATTACATGATATATAATTATTGCTCTGATTCTAAGCGATTCTCACAGGGATTCCCTCCAGAGAGCGGCATTAACACCACAGCATAAAAATTCTGAAGTTTGATTAGTTTAGGCACAGGAATATTATATTCATTCATTTGTTCGGACTGTAGAATAATAATTCTTTTGTTCTTTTACTTGTTATCAAATTTATCATACATTTGATTATATTATTATCCTCCAGTGGGAATTTTAGAATTTTTACGTAATTTTTTCAGGCATTTCTTCAACGTGATTCAATGATTCTTCAACAAATCAGGCAAATTTTACAACTTTTTCCTTTGCTTTCGTCGAGGATAAAAATATATTGGCCTGTGTAAGCATAAAAACATCTGAATATTGAGTAGTACACGCGAATAAAGCCCAAATTCTTAAAAATTCAGTTCATAAGAATCAAATAGTAACTAACTCATCTGAGTACACGGAACACTAGAGGGCAAATGTAAAAAACATAATACACAAGCATCCTTGAATCATACAACATTTCACATTACAGATATGGATGGTTACTCCTGACCTAGTTTACGAAGACTGTTGAACGCAGAGAACTTACTGTACAGGTGACTGTATATGAAATACGTCATCAAGAACAAAGAAACATCAAAGCACTTCGAGATTCCTGAGAAAAATCTACTCCCATGCAATCCTGAACTCTACATATGTAGATTGCACAGTAGCACTGAAGAAGATCCACTAATCGTCGAATGGAGGACGGTTAGTATTGATACCTGAACATCTCAAGAAAAAATTCTATTCATCTTCTAATTCCACGAGTTCTGCCCTCCTCTCGGCTGCTTTCTTCCTGACGAAGATACCCCACCTCATTGCGGCCTTAATTTTCAGCCATCCGACAACTGCCTTCCCAGAACGGGTACGGTCCTCGTTATAACTGTAGCCTGGAGAGGGTGCTGGAACGTAAGAAGGGAAATTGTACCCGTCTTCAGGCCCGTTAACAGAGGCATGACCTCCCATGCTGAAAAGCCGAAGCAAATGCTGCATGTCTTCATTCTCGAGCATTTCGTGACTTCTTATGCGAATTTCCTCTTCTGACAATAAGTCTTCTACACCCTTGTCCCTGTTGTGAGGCCAATCCTCGAACGGGTTAATCATAGTCTGCTGTACAGAGGAGTTGCCTATTTGGAATGATGATGATTGAGAAGGACCGAGTGCAAGCCCAACGCTATTTTCATACGTCGTAATTTGCTGAGGATGGTTGATCTGCTGATCATTGTGAGTAAAAGCAGCAGGATCAAACTGAGTACGGGAACTGGAGTTCATAAGGGGAGACTGGATAGGGTATTTCGTAGTTGTATTGTCATTGTAAGAAGAACCTGGGATTGGTTGGAAAAAAAAGAAATGTCTTTACAACGAACCACAAATTAAAGTCTTCATGTCAGTGTGTGCGCGCGCATTCAAGATAAAATAGTAGTTACCATTGAAAAATAAACAAAATATAACTGACCACAAAAGCAAAAGAGAAAAGTAAAGAGGAACAAGACAGACAAATTGTACGCTAGTAAGGAATAAGTTAGGCAATTAAGACATTATTCAGCTGGTTTTGTGCTGACCTATTTTCGTAATAGCACCCAGGTTATTTCTTTGACAGCTTCACCCAAACAGGCTCTTCAATTGGAAATTAGAAAATAAGTAAAGGTGGGAAGGAGGGAGCGAGGACAAAACAAATGGATAAGAAGTGTCCACTGTCCAGGCCTGACACCCTTTGCCAATGACTGCCGATGACTGATTCCAAACTTTGATTATAAGCTCCTTGTCACGGGCATAGTTTCGTCACTTTGCTCCCATTCCATCCATGGGTTTTTACAAATGACCAACCCCTCTATATTTATAGGCAAATTGAAAAGCAAGAGGAAATGGTGGTACATGGCCGGTTGACCCATTAAATCACAATACCCATTTTACCTCCATTTTGAACCTTGAGAATTTGAAAAATAGTATAAATCTGAAAATCTCTCCTACCATTTCTTGTTCTTCAATGTTTCTCCATCTCCATCTCTATCGCCATTCTTCAAGGTATTTTCACCCATCACCATCTCCATCTACATCTCCATCTTCAAGGTTTCTTCATTTTATTTGGTTAAATTCGATTTTTTTAGCTTATAATATTGATGGATAAAGTGTTTTTAGCTTTAATATTCAAAGATTTAAACAAAAAATTCTTTTATTCTATTGAAGAAATCCAAATTTGTAAAGAAATCACAGTTAATATGTTATTTGTTAACGGGGTTTGGGGGTCCAAGTGGTTGGGGTTCGAGGGGTCCGAGGGGAGAAATCCTGCCTTTTAATTTTGAAATGAAGGGTATTATTGTCTTTTAATGTTAAAAAAGCCATTGTGGTGAATAATTAGTAAGTTGGACATATGTGCTGAATAGAGTGTTTGACGGGGCCATTTTAAAAAAGCGGCCAGAAAAGCAAGTTCGCATCAATGGCTAAGATTCTACACTCTTGTGCAAGTTGTCATGCCTCTACCTATGATGCTCGGACTCGGATACGGGTATCGAGTATGGGTATATATCTAAGTGTTGGATTTTTTATTTTCTAAAATATAAGATACGAGGACATGACTAAAAATAGTCCAAATTTCGAACTCGAGTACGTCTTTCAAATTTCAATTTTTTTACTAACTCAAAATGTCATTTTAAATAAACCAAAATCAATTATTCACAAAGAAAGAAATGAATATTAAATAAGAGGTTAAGAAGAATAAAATAGAATTTTGGGATTTAGTTTTCAATTATAATAAGTTAATTAATAAATGTTATATAAAATAGAAAACGAGAGACTTGATTACAATTTAGACTTAGTGGAATAATAAGCAGCACTATATGAAACCCATTTATATTTTATACAAAGAAAACCCTAAATCATTGATATAGAGAGAGAAAGAAGGAAAAAAGAAAGATGAAAAGGGAAAGAAAAAAGAAAGAAAAAGAAGGGAAAATCTAGTGCCGCCGCTTTACTCCATCCTCTCGGCAACGCTAGGTTTAGAGAGAGCAAAAACGAGAAAGAAGAAAATGGAAAGAAAAGAAAAAGAAAGAGAAAGAGAAAGAAGCAGAAACTCTGAAATGTCTTGTTGAAATTTAGAGGATCCGACACATATCCCATACCATATCCGTATCGTGTCGATAAGGGTACTTCGTCCATTTCGAATAGTCCGAGCATCAAAAGCCTCTACATCATGTCCCTTTCCAACTTTATGCAAGTTGGCATATGCAAGTTGCATGCCACTGTCCAACCATATGCTAAATGGCATGACTCTTATAATGCAAGTGGATAATCTCTACAACTCAAAAAGTCGAATCGGGGTCGAATCGGTATCGAACCGGTTGTTAATTGAATAAATAACTATACACAAAAATGTAAAATATTATTAAAACAATAGATTTTTTACATTTTAGTTTATTAATTTAAAGTAAATAAATATCTATATTTTTCTTAATTATTTTTATTATTGTAATTAATTTTACAATTTCATAAACTAATAATTNATTTATTTTACAATTTCAAAAACTAATAATTAATATGTAACAAATAATTTGATTTGTGAATGGAAATAATGAAATAAAATATTTATATTTAGAATTAAAATTCAATTTTACTTTATCCCACATCGAATGTCAATAGATAACTAGAAGATAATCTCTCCTTTAAAAATGAACATCATGATGGTAGAAGTCACTATTGAGCTTGCTAGTAAAAACAAGTGGGCCTCAAGTTAGTTCAAAATTTTTTAAAGAACATTATTTTTTTCCTAATTTTTATTAATTTCGGATCAGATATCCGATAACATAGCAAATCGGATATGGATTTAACAATCAAATATTCATTGGATTATCGGATCGAATTGGATATGGGCAGATCCGATCCATATCAAATCCATTTACAGCCCTACTTGTGTCCCCTATTGCAGGTAGTTCTATCCTATCATAGCGTCCTATCTGTACTACCTAATTTTCCGTTGTGGACATATCTACCGTGACCATGGAGACGTAAGTTCCTGCTCAGAAAATCATATCCACTATCCAACAATTCTTACCGGTAACAGCCATCCTACCAACATGTACTTTGTGCAAAGAGCAAACGAAAACATGGTTCCCCATAAACCCAACCAAAGTGAAAAAATTAACTAAATATGCACTAAAAACACCATCACTTCCAAATTCACAAGGTAAAAAGGAGCATAAAAGCTTTGATACATTATACAATATCCATTTTAGTGAAGACTGCAAGATTGCTGATGGTTAGGCTAGGCAATAACAATAAAAAAGGTCATGTCATATCTTGGGCCATGGTAGAGATATTATGGATGCAGTTGCTTCATTATCAATTTGTTTACGCCAAGATGATTAAAACAAATCGTGTAATCTTTCAAGGAGCAGCAGTACAAGATATTGAAGAGATATCTTAGAGTTTTGGCCTGTTGAAGCTGATTGAGACTGGAAACAAAACTATTTTCATTGCAGGGAAACAGCCCCCAACCCCACCCACAAAAAAAAAATTTTTTAAAATAGTGGTGGAATGCGTTTTGAGGTATATACGAGATAAAATTGTTGCCTATCTGAGATCAGAAAGCTCAATTTTCATTATTTACTTTTCTCTTTTGGCCGTAAGGATGCTTTCTTTCATTTGTTCCAACTAAAAAGAAAATTTATTCAATAAGGTGATGTTTACCTCCAATTTGCATGCTTGGCATCATTGATGAAGGCTCAGATGGAACTGATGCTGGCAATCTTGGCGGTAGAAGTGGATTCTCTACAACATCAGGATAATTGACTGGGCCCATGGGAAGATCGTTACATAAAGCACTCGACTTCTTTTGCTTGAAGTTCAAAAGTGAATTTCCATCATACTCCACAACTTGGTTCCAGTTATCATATGCTTTTTTAACCAAGGTATCCACATATACCTACAGGTAAAGTTTTAAAAATTTCCATAAGGCACTGCAAAGAAACTGCCTTCTCCAACTAGCTAATCAGATGCAAACAAAAATATTCTTCCAGCTAACTATGAATATGCCAGATAAGCTTTTGCGATTGAGTTAGAAGTTTGTCTGACAAATATATGTTATGCCAGTTGCTTGAATCCCAGTCCCAGTTAACATTCATTCAAAAACAGGATCAGATTTAAACAGAAAAAAAAAAAAAA